TATGATTTGTTCAAAATATTGGAATAAGACAGCCATGGCGGCCTTTTTTATACCAGACTTATTTAAGTAGGAATAATAATAACTTGAAAAAGCTCGATTTGCTTGTGAATTCTATGGAAACGGCCCTTGGGCCTTAAATAGATTCAAATGCACAAAATATTAATATCTGACTTATTTAAGTTGCACTTATTAATAACTTAAAAAAGCTTGCTGTGATTGTGGATCCTTTGAAAACGGTCCTTGTGATTTAAATGGACCCAATTTGAAAATCATTTTTGTTCGTATTCGGTGAGGATGCTAAACAATTTTTCTACATCTGACGAAGAGATATTAACAAATTCTTTAGTTTTATTTGGGTTTTCGGTAATATCTATTTCAATTTTTGGAACCTCTGGTAGGATATGCGGTACAGAAGAATTTTAGGGGCCCTTTTACTTAACTGTAATGTACCCAAGCCCTTCAATGAGTTACAGATGATACTGGATGCGAATTGTTGCACTAGTATATAGAAACCTATTACTAACCATTTCCATCTAAATCACTTTTGGAATCTGGTTGATGCAAAAATGAAGAAATTTTGGGCATCTTCTTCTCTTCTCCACTTAGGCACTTTCTTTTTCCTTCACTCATTTTTTTTTAATATTTGCAGATTTAAACGTTTGAATCGACTGCACAAAGTCAAATCAAATCTAATAAACCAAAGTCAGAAAATAGATTTGCCATTGCCAGGATTTGCCCAATGCCCAATGGTAAAAGTGGTCTTTTCATCTCTGACAACTGGAGTATACCTACCCTATGAAATTCAAAACACATTTTTTTCAATGTCTCAACTTAAAAAATTAGTAGTTTTCTCAATTTCTCAACTTAAAAAATTAGTAGTTTTTTAAGGTGAGATATTGAAAAAAATTGGTTTGAAATTTCGTAGTCATAATGAACAAAATTTTTTTATTGTTTCTCAGATTATTTATTTTCTTTTCAAATTTTCATAGTTTTCTTTATTTTCATATTGGCGAACAATAATGTTTCATCAAGTAGGAAATTTACCACCATTTATAAAAGCCAGGAAATTGTAGGTAGGATTTTCATTCATTCTGTCATAATAAATATTTCTATTAAGTTAAGAATATTTCCGATATAAACAGAAACAGCACATTCTCATAAATATTTTCATTATAAAGTTCACTATCGAAAACTTATGCAAGTGAATTTTCAGATCTCAAAAGCGTTTATATTGGCAGACACGACTAATATGCTACACCGTAAGAAATCCGATATTAATATCTATTTTAAAGCAATTAGATTAAAATAATTTCTGAAATTAATAAATATTTACATAAATGAGAAGTTAAACAGGTATAATAACCGGCAATCTTCCGCATTAGAACCCAGTGCCTTGGGACAAAAATGCTGGTAATGAGTTTACCTATTTCCAAAGACGCCGGTGATCAGTTTATTATATGTCGGTGGGTCTCATAATTTTATGATGAGACACGTTCACATAATATGGTGTTGTTGTCATCTTTAAGTCGCTTCTTTTGAGCGTTTCTGGATTTTTTTGTTATGTTGTTTCCTTTTTTTTCAACTTTGTGATACTATTCATAAATGACAACGTATTCATTTTTTGTCAAGACCATTTTAGTGTTTTTCTCCCAGAAATGCATTATCGTTGGAGCGTTTTGGGCTCCAACGGGTGTCATTTTATTACTTGTTGATTCCATTTTTGATGTTTATGTTGTGGTTGATGTGGGTTGGTTCTCTGTAAACTCTGGTTGCATATCGTGTTTCATCCTTTTAATTACCACACCCAGAAAAGGTATTGAATTGTTTTCTTTTTCCATACTGAAATGGATCGATTTTCCTTTACAGTTATTATTTATCAAAACTTAAAAATAGATAAACTGAAAAGAGACAATTTTCAAGAAAGATTCAATCATTAATCGTCAACACAATTAAGAACTACAGGCTCTAAATACAAAAACTAGACTTTATGTTATGTACTATGTTTATCCGATGGTTTTGTATATACGAATAGGTACTAGAATTTTAGTTACAATTTAGTAGATATATCAAGATCTATTGGTGGATCATGTAAGAAATCAAGATGTGCTGATAAGATTAAATGATGAAAATGAATTATTTATAAGAAAAATTTTGAAAATTGGTCTACCTCGTTTACATTATGAGATCATAATCGAATACAGATTTGTGTCAAATAATATTTTACGGAATTTATTACTTAAAATATGTGTGTATGGTTGACAGTGCGTCGCCTTAAAGTGTTAACCTGCTAAGTCCACATTTTAGGCAAAATGAGTTTTTACCATCTTAACGAACCACCGTTAAAGAAGAAAGTTTTAGAGTGTGCAGAACCATGTTTCTTAATACTGTCGTAATTGGTTGCTGGGCAATTCTTAGCTGGAAAATTTTTTATAGAGTACATGCTCCAAGTATAATATGCAAGTCAACCATTAGAGTACTACCTTTCAAAGATCGCCGTGAATGCTTGCTGTAACTTTTAGATTCTTTGCCAGTTATGAAGTCACATTATTGCAGGTCAACATCTCAAAAAAATATATGTTTTGGCTAAATGGCAGTCTCGGCAAAGTGTTAACGAATTGTATGTCAATTTGGTGCAAATGAGATAAGATGAACTTTGCACTTTTCCGCCATAAAAAATATAAATGTGAAAGTGTGTTAGTTATAGGGTTGGACACCTTTCGGAAGAAGAATTTAAAAATCACATACAGAGAAAAGTAAAAGCAAGAGATGAATATGAAAAGGATAAAAATGAGAAACTAAATGTTTTCACAGCAGTTTTGCAAGCCGTGTTGATAGCACCAAACTCAAAAGTCTCCACATTATACTATAAAATTAAGCTCCAAGTACACAATCTCTGTGAATCTCACAAGTGAATTCCGATGATTATATTTTTTATATGGAATGAATGTAAAGGAGGACTTGGTTCTGAGGAATTTGCCAGTATTTAGATGTATTTCATTGAACAGAAAATTTTACCCAGTGTCCCTCATTCTGTAGGAGGGATTGATGAAATAAGCACCATTATAATGTATTCGGATGATTGTTTGTACCAAAATAGAAACGCTGTTATCGCCAATGTTCTGTTGAATCTAGCAATTATTCATAATGTAATAATAGAGCAAAAATATCTTGAACCTGGTCATACACAGATGGAAGTTGATTCGGTTCATGCAACCTTCGAACAAAAACTAAAAGATAAAGTAATTAACCTACCAGCGAATTACATACCTATCTGTCTAAAAGCAAGACAAAAGCCTACTCCCTACCAAGTAAAATATTTTACACATGATTTTTTCAAAAATCTTGATTCAATTCAGCGCTATAAAACAATTAGATCAGGAAGAGGTAAAAATGATTTAAAAGTTACAGAAATTCGTGCTTTTAGGTATACACCCGAAGGTAAAATTTATTATAAAGTCAGCTTTGTTGATCAATGGAAACCAATTCCTCAACGTAAGAACAAAATTAATTCACATTATTGAGAACAATTTAAACGACTATACCTAGAAAGACGTAAAACCGCCAAAAAATATGAAGACCTTCAGGCAATCAAAAAGACATTGTCGGTAGACTACTACAAATTTTATGAAGATCTTCCCTATAAATAGCGTTATTATTGTTTTTATTCTTTTTGTACTTAGAATAATAAAGTTTCGTTGGGTATAGAATACGTGTGTTTGATTGCATTAAACTGCCAAGTCCATTATTAGCCTAATTTGAAAAACTGATGTCTATGTCCCAAAAAATACTAATAACTAAAATCATCAGTATAATTTTTTATAATTTCAATGATACAATAATTATTATACTAATTTTAAGCAATATTTTATTATTTTCCATTCATTTTTATAAAAAGTAATGCTGCGAAGTCGTTTTTTGCCTCTCCTGTAAAATTGGGTAAAATGGATTTAGCGGGGGCGACGAGTGGATTTATCTAGTGCAGATACAACTTTGCATTTTGTATTTTTTATTTGCAATTTGTATCTTGTTGACAATTGTCAACAAGATACAAATTGCAAGATGATCGTCCACATTCGAAACAAATACTATTTTGAGCAGAATAATTTTCGAAAATGTTCAGTTTGTTTCCAAGAAAAGTAAATAAGAAAGAAACAACGAAAAAGAAACAAGAAAGAAATTAATGAAATGAAATAGTGTTGGAATAATGCTAAAATATTGATTTATGTCTTCGTTTGCCATATGTTAAAATTATATTATCATAAATCATTCACTTTTTTTATCTGTTAACTTATGTTCTCCTAAGTTTATATTCAACAATTCTGTTTAAAAAAATCCTTTGCTACAAGTTAAATGGATTTTTAGTTTCACCATGAACATTCATAACTTATCCATTTGTCCATTTTCTATCTAATTTTCATCGAAGGTGCACTAGATTTTTAGTAATAAAATTACATTTAAGTGTTTTGGAATTATTTAATACAGCTGGAGTAAATTTTCAGTTGAACAATCTCTTTATAGAAAGTAGGAATTGTTTAAGCTTTCAGAAAATCGGTATCTATTCTCTAAACAATTTTCTAAGAAAATATCTATATCAGCCCCCAATAAAAATTTCAACTACCATTGTCGAAGAAATCAATACTGTAATTTACAATTGTCATTCATATACCAGCCAGCTGAATGTTCGTAAAGAATACATCTCAACGACAAGAGAATAGCCCGCATTACTTACCAAACAGACACCATGCAGTGTTACCAAATGTTACCAGAAAATTTACAAAACAAACAGAGAAACACCCTAAATGTCAGCAAACAACTTAATACATCAAGAAATCCCTACCGTCAACATAGGCGGCGGCTCCTCCCAGAGAGGCGTGCTAGTTACATTCCGCAACAGTCATTGGCCGGCTGCTATTGGCTGGTGTGTTGGGGATATTTATACCCTACGTTCCAAACTGGTTGCATTATATGAGTTAGTTTCTAACTGCATTCGTTAGCGAGAGGTTGTGTAGTAGTTGAGTGTTTAGAATTGTGATTAAATTTAAAATATGGTGAAAAGAGAAGACACAGTGTTGATAGTACCTACAATGGCTCGTACACCTTTGAAATCATCTTTTTCAATTAGTTCGATACTTCCTGAAACAGCTTTAGAGGCTCCAAAGAGTCCAGAGCAAACTCAAAGTCCAACTCCGATATCAGAAACCGACTTAAGCGACTCTGATTGTGATCTGGACGTGACTGGTGACGACGACGATTCACCTGTGGTAGACTGCTCAAAATCAGAAGAAAAATCTTCTGAGGATAAGAAATCTAAAGAAAAACCACCGTACAGTTACAACGCTTTGATTATGATGGCGATTAGAAATAGTCCTGAAAAGAGATTGACTCTGAATGGTATCTACGAATATATAATGTGCAACTTTCCGTACTACAGAGAAAACAAACAAGGCTGGCAGAATTCCATAAGGCATAATTTGAGTTTGAATAAGTGTTTTGTTAAGGTTCCAAGGCATTACGATGATCCCGGCAAAGGAAACTACTGGATGTTGGACCCCTCAGCTGAAGACGTTTTTATTGGAGGTAGGCATTGTTCATTGATATTATAATTAAACTTGTAGGTTATAAAAAAAGGATTTAGGTTTACGTTTACGAACTAGTAAACTTTCTTGATTCTTGAATAAATAGTATTATCAGCTTTTTCCCACTTAATTCTAGCTAGATCATTATTAAAATACCTAAATTTTTTGGAAGTTTCCTTTTCAAGAAATTTATAAAATTATTTACCACTATCTACCTTATTTTGATTTATCACCTTTCTATATTTCGTGTTGATTTATAAGGATAATACTACTACTATCTATCACATTTCTGAACTTTCTTTTCTTTATGGCAGGTACCTCTTTTGACTTTACAGATAAATATCAGCTACCTGTGTAGATTTGACCAAATAACTGAACATTAGACAAAATATTACTTTTGCCTTCTTGCTAATTTTGTAAGCAGATCTTTCTACAGTTTATAAAGCGCTTATTTGATCCTATAGATACCATATTTGATATGCGTTATGTAATTTATTCAAATGAAAAATTTTAAAACAGTTAATATTACTGTAAAAATAATTATAAATAAATTAAAAGATAAGAATATTATATAGACAGGTTGGGCCCTGGGCCTTCTTTTCTTTTTATTAATTTATCAAAAAAAGGTTTTTTTTAATTTGACGTTAATCTTAATATGTATCACAGACATATTTTTGCTACCATAAAAAAAAATTTATTTTAAATACTTTTACACACATGTTGAGTTTTAATAAACAAATAATTTTCATTAGTCTAAAAATACCTTTTCTCTTACAGGAACCACTGGAAAGCTTCGTCGCAGGTCAACAGCAGCTTCCAGATCCCGTCTAGCAGCTTACAAGAGAACATTATCCATGTATTCCCCCTTACAACCGATGTACCCGGGATTCTATCCTCCATCACCGGCGCTCCTAGCAGCAGCTTACCAAAGGTACCATCCGTACATAGCAACCATGGGTAGTACAGCCATACCAACCGTCCTGAGGCCATCACCCGTACAACCTCAACCTGGTCCACAACCTTTTAATATGGAAAGGTTACTCGCACCGAGTGTTGACTTCTTCAGACAACCTTTGGATCTGTATAGTAGCTTTAGGTTGCCTCCTCCTCCGCCTAGTATGCTAGCGCATCACCAAATGGCGTTATCACCTACGAGCAGTTCCAGCTCTCCAGAACCTAGAACCAGTCCCGACACGTTGTTTAAACCAGTGGCTGTGATGTCTAGGCATAGTTGAAAATATTTTAAAGAACTTAGGAAAATGAACATTACATAATTTAGAAAAAGCAGGTTCTTTTTTGACTTGGACACTTGTCTATCTTTTTCATAGACGTTTTTATGTACAAAACTTTATGTGAATGTAACAGTTTAGCTTTAATAGGTACGTAGGAAACACATTTCATGCATTCAAAAGTTAGCTATGACTTAATTATTGGGTATTACATTATTTCTCAAAATAATTGTCAACAGTACAACTACAGTACCTATATTATATATTTTCAGCTTTATTGATGTTTGTAAATTAAATATTTAATATTCGAGTAATTAGTTAAACGTGACCGTCTTACTTATTACATATTTTGATCTCTATGACACGTCCAATTAAATTGAAGCTTTTTGTAGTATTTGTAAATAGTTGTAATATAGTACCTACCTTTCTCTTGTGATGTTAGTTGTAAGTAAATTGTACAGTATTAAATTATCTATTATTAAAAAGAATAAATTATATTAAATAATGATTGGTTTCTTTTATTTAAATGTAATTGAATTACAGTCTCCATTATAAATCCAACTAGGTCTAGAGGTGTTGAAAAGTATAGGAATAAACAATTTTTTTTCGTAGATACCTATTTTAATTTTGATTTTTCACGGAATATTTTTTCTTGAAAAAGAAAAGAAAAAATTAGTAATACATATTTTATGTAAACTCTAAAATGTTAGTCGTCTTAAGATGAAAAAAATTATCAGGAACCAAATAATTATTATGTGCCTACATAACGAAAAGTGGTTTGTACGGTAATAACGAATACTAATCTCTAAGTTTAACCACAAATTGTAATAGTTATTTATGTACCAAGAGTATTTAATAGATGTTTATGCCCAGTGGCGAAGATGTTACAAACCCGAGGGTTTATAAGTCGTCCGAGGGTATATACATACAGTGACCATATATATTTAAAAAAAAATTACAAACATGTAGTAAAAACACAAAATGAATCTTTTATTGGACAATCATAACTTTTTGGCATTGAAAATAGAGAATAAACTAGGTTAAACATTAAAACAATATGTTGCTAAACAATAAAAAATTATGTCAAATTATATTAACTTTGAAAAGGTAAAAATCCTGTAAGTAAGAGTTTTTAGATGAGGGATCTGGAAGAGAGTTGAAATGGACATTTGTGGTTTTTCCGACGTCCAATATAATTATTTATTATAGAAAATAAACGCTCTCTAGCTACACTAGTATCCGGAAGACAAAAAATAAATTTGCATCATATTTGTAAGTTTTTCAGTTTGAATTGATCTACACACTTAAAAACTTCAAACCATCGATCTTCGCTATTTTTTTATTCTCTGTTCCACTCAGCAATTTTTTTACTTGTAGCCACGTCTTTCAAAATTCCCAGTTCGTCAAAGAGTTAATATTTATTTAAAATTGTTGCCTTGATATTCAATTTAAAAACTTCCAGAGATTAACAAACATCTTTCAATATTATTTAACTTCTTAGATCTATCCATTTGAATAGTTTAATTTCATGTAAATTTGTACTTCAATTTTCTAGGTAGGTTACATTTTGTGTAAAAATGTTTCATTTAAGCAGTAAAGTTTTCAGTAGCAACTAGCTCGTCGTCAAGTTTACCAAAATATTCCCTAACTTTAAGCGGCAAAAATAATGCGCCCAACCGATGTTATAACTTGATTTTAAGACTAAAGTATTCTTGGGCAGAATCTGTCGCATTTGTTATAACCTTTTACTTATAAAATTATAAAAAAGATTATGAACGAGCCACATCCACATCTCTGCAATGGGATCATTGAAAAGTTGTCACAAAATTGTGAGACAATTCTCAAATGATAGAAAATAGGCTTTAAGTTGTTCAAACATTTGTTTTGGTAGATGTTTTCGATAATTTTTATAATATTTAGGGGAACTTCTCTATTATACAGAAAATGGATTACATCTTTGAGTCTTACTCTGTCCAACTTTCTTTAGGCCAATCAGACTCAGAAATGCTGGTCTATTATACTCTTTTGATTTTTCACTAATTTGATTTATAACGAATATTGCATCTCTACACAATCTTCCACTACAAAAACCCTATTGTTTCTCTGCTAAACTTATCCTTTAATTTTTAACCACTTGTAAAATTTTTTTTTTTTTTTTTTTATTTATTTATGCCTCAACCTCATAGGGTCATTGGCGTTGTACAATTTAGAGTTTTACAGTTTATTTAGTACATTTATGGAATGTAAGTATGATGTCAAATTTTTCATATCAGTTCCGTCACTTAATATTGCCTGTAAGGTATCTTGTAATTTATATTGAAGTCTCTCCATGCGATATAAAGGACACTCCAGTAAAATATGGCGAACACTGAGCACAATATCACATATGTTGCACTTTGGTTTTAATTCACTCTCTAGCAGATGTTTATGGGTGATGGCGGTGTGGCCTATTCTCAGACGAGATAGGATGGTTTGATGTTTACGCTTATTTGGGGTTGATTTCCAAGGTAATATGGAATGTTTTACTTCTCGTAGTTTGGATGTTGATTGATTCCACTTGGTCTGCCAATCATTGATTATTAAGTTCTTGATTACAGGTTTTATATCTAGATGTGGAATGCTTCTGATTTCTACAGCTTCCGGACTCGAGATTGCTAGTTTTGCCAAGGAATCTACTTCTTCGTTACCAGCAATTCCAATATGGGAAGGAATCCATACAAAGTTGACATTTATGTTCATAGTTTGCAGTTGGCTTAATGCTGATTTAATAAGTAGTAGACTTGGATGACTAGGATATAAGTTATTTAGGGCAATTACAGAACTTAGGGAATCCGTAATAATGACAGGGTTTTTGATACTATTTTCTACCACAAAATTTATTGCATTGAGAATAGCAGTTAATTCGGCTGTGTAAATGGATGTTAAATTAGGGAGTTTCATTAATATTTTTGTTTTATTAGACATAAATGCTGCTCCCACTCCATCTATAGTTTTAGAGGCATCGGTATATATAAGTGTATGGTTACTGTATGTCTTGAATTCTTGGAGGACATATTGATATAATGCTTTGGGATGGTTATCTGCTTTTTTATATATGGAGAGTTTGGTATTGATAGATGGGATGGGAACAGTCCAAGGGGAACAGTGTTAATATCGGGTATACAATAGATATCTTGAAATTTGAATTCAAGTTCATTGAGGTATCTATTTACCCTTTCATAAAAAGGAAGGTCAAGCCTAGCATGAGTTTTAAAGATATTCCTAAAACGGTCTGAATTTACATAGTGATTAACAGGATTCATAGGATTTGCCTGTATTGATGCCGCATATGTTAGTGAAAGTTGTTTTCTTCGGAATTCCAGGGGGACTTCTCCAGCTTCACAGTGTAAACTTTCAGTAGGGCTAGTATAAAAAGCACCTAGTATAGTTCGCAAAGCACTATTTTGTATTCGATCGAGTTGTTTTATGATATATGGTTTTGCTGAATCATAAATAATACAAGCGTAGTCGAGTTTGGACCTGATCAATGACTTGTACATAAGGGTCAGTGTTTTACTATCTGCTCCCCACGTGTTGTGTGCAACAGTTTTTATAATGTTAAGTGCAGATTGACAAGTACTTTTTAGATCATGAATGTGGTGGTTCCAGGATAATCTGTTGTCAAATGTCATGCCTAGACATTTAATTTTCTCAACATATTTTATTTCTTTATTAAATAGTTTTAATTCTGGAGTGATATAACTTCTTTTTTTTGAAAATAGCATAGCCTTTGATTTTGTTGTTGATAATTGAAGACCTGTAGAATTTGTCCATAATTCGAGATTCCATAGCACTTTCTGTAGATGGGTCTGAAGGGTTTTATCATTTATCCCCTTAACAAAAATGATTAAGTCATCTGCAAAGAGTCTAGCTTTTACTGGTAAGTCACAAGTGGAGATAATATTATTTATTGCAATAAGAAATAGGGAGACGCTTAAATTAGATCCTTGAGGAATTCCGTTTTTTTGAATTTTTGTATTAGATAAAGTACCGTTAACTCGTACATTAAAAGTTCGATGAGATAGGAAATTTTTTATGAATTGTGCTATATTACCTTTTATTCCCCATCGACTAAGTGTTTGAACAATACCATGTCGCCAAACTGTATCGTATGCTCTTGTTATGTCAAAAAATATTGCGATACATTTTTGTCCACATGCCATTGCTTCATGAATCTCAGACTCTAAACTAATAAGATTATCCAGTGTTGAACGACTTTTTCGGAATCCGCTTTGTTCCGGGGCAAGTAATTTATTATTTTCTAAAAACCACATTAATCTGTTGGATATGATTTTCTCGAGAACTTTACACATTACACAAGTTAGAGAAATAGGTCTATATGAATGTGACAGAGATTTTGGTTGATTTTGTTTATAAATAGGGATGACAATAGATGAACTCCAGATTTTTGGAAACTTGCTATATCTCCATATATTATTATAGATATTCAGCAAGTGTTTCTTTGCAGATGAAGGAAGTTTTTGAAGAAATATTGCAGGAATGTTATCAGGACCGGGAGAAGAGTTTTTTGTATTATTGAGTGAGTATTCTAATTCATCCATGGTTATGGGATAATTTAAAGGAGAAAGGTCATCAGGCGGTATATCAATACCTTTGGATTCCTCTTTCTCTTTTTTGGTCAAAAAATCTGGAGGAAGAACATTATCACTTGAGAATCTTTCAAAACTATTAGCTAGAATATTAGCTATGTCTAGAGGGGAAGTGTATATTTTTTGTTTTTCTTCTAAGAAGTTAATGTGGTTTGGGGTATTTTTCCCGGATATCTTTCGTACCATTTGCCATACTTTATTAATTGGTGTAGATGAATTTAATTCTGAAACAAACTTTTTCCATGATTCACGTTTACTTCTTTTAATTATAAATCTAGCTCGTGCTTTTAGTCGTTTGAATTCTAATTTATTTTCAAGTGTATTATATTTCCTGAATCGATTTAATGCTGTTTTTGA